CTAATGGGCTCTAGAGCACAGGCTTAGTAGGGCTGAGTGGTTGTGGTACACGGGCTTAGTTGCCCTGTGGCATGTGGAATTCCTGGACCAGGGATCGAACCTGTGTCCCCTACATTGACAGGTGGATTCTTAACCCCTGGACCACCCGGGAAGTCCCACTTTGTCGTTTTTGTTTTTTTTTTTTTTAATCATTGAGTTGTAAGAGTTCTGTATATGTTCTAGATTTGTTTCTTATCATCTATATTATTTGCAAGTGTTTTTTTCCCATTCTTTGGGTTGTCTTTATACTTCCTTAATGGTGTTACGTTTTCAGTTTTGATGAAGTCCAGTATATTTGTTTTTTCTTTTGTTGCCTATGTCTGTTGGTGTCATGCATGCCAAAGAAGCTTTTGCTGAATCTGTGCCAAATCCAAAGGCGTGTTTTATTTTAAGAGTTTTATAGCTTTAGCTCTTAGTTTTAGGTCTTTGATCCATTTTGAGTTAATCTTTGTATGAGGAGTGAGTTAAGAATGTAACTTCATTCTTTTTTATGTGGCAGTGCTGATGAAAACCTGGGTATTTAAATTTAAGATTTTTAAAAGTAGATCAGATTTACTTAAAATGTGTAGCAGTTCCAAGTAAGACTGGTCTGACATGTGTACATGAAAGTGCATGACTGAAGTGGAGATGAAAAGTATGAGCTTATTTCCATAGCTTTCAGATCAGTGACAGGGTAGACCCAGGCAAAAGACAGAGGTGGAGGTCTTCCCGTTGATCTTATAGAGCGTCCCTGTGAAACCTTTCTTAAATTGAAATGACTTAAAGCAAAGAAGCAATTACCTTAGTACGCTTCTTGCCAAGTGATGCGCAAAATAAATGGAGGTAAAGCACCGATGCTCACAGATACAGTTCAAAGCTGTGGCAGCTGGATGCTAAGAGGCTGAGTGTAGTTCCCAGGGCAGGAGCTTGGTGGTTTCACTCCTTCGGCTTAGGGTATAGAGCTGCTTGTATGACAGCTCACTGCAAAGCAAACACTGAGTACAGTTTTTACTTTTGCCTTTTTTTAAAAAAATCTTTTTCAAATTTCTTTCAGTTTGTGAAAACAAATACTACTATAGGCCTTTTATCAAAGGAAAAAAAGAAAAATAGTGTAATCTGAACTTTTGAGAAGCAAGATATAGCTAGATGATAGAAGCCTCAGAGAAGTAGGAATTTAAAATGAGGTGGACTTGGGATTAGCAGATGGAAACTGGTATATGTAGAATGAATAAGCAACAAAGTCCTACTGTACAGCATAAGGAACTATATTCAATATCCTGTGATAAACTATAATGGAAAAGAATATGAAAAAGAATGTATAGGGACTGCTTTGATCCAGTAGTTAAGACTTTGTGCCTATAATGCAGGGGGTGCAGTTTCGATCCTGTTTGGGGAACTAAGATCACACATGCCATGTGGCGAGGCAAAAAAAGAGTGTGTGTGTGTGTGTGTATGTGTGTGTGTATACACACACATACATACAAACAACCCCCACACACACACATATAAAACTATATATAGTTATAAACTATATATAGTTATATTCCATGTATATACCATATATGTATATATAACTATTCCACTTTGCTATACAGCAATTAACATTATTATAATTCAACTATACTTCAATAAAAGATAAAAGGTGACAGAGATCTGGAAGAGACATTGGGAATGAGAAAGATAGACTCCCCTTTTACTCTGAAATATGTGGGGAATGGGAAAATGAGCTAAAACATCTGCATGAGAATTCTGCCAAGGAAGCAGTTGCTTAAGTGGAGGGCTAGGCTTTAGAGTTGGGAGGGTGTTCACTGAATGGGAAAGTCAGCAGTAGGGAAAATGGTTTTGATGTCAGCCCGTAGGCAAAGATGGTAAAGAATCTGCCTGCAGTTTAATCCCTCAATCGGGAAGATCCCCTGGAGAAGGGCATGGCAGCCCACTCCAGTATTCTTGCCTAGAGAATTCCATGGACAGAGGAGCCTGGCAGTCCATTGGGTCACAAAGAGTTGCAAATGACTGAGTCACTAACACTTCCACTTTTGTAGCCAAAGAAGCTTGACCCTAGGGTAACACCTTGGCTTCAGTTACACCAGATTTTGGTGCTAATTTGGAGTCTCCTCAGCACTATACTATTTGTATTTTCTGTCCTGCCTGGAAACAAAATTAGTTTCTCCTTTGGAATAAAAGAGTTGCCTCATTTGACATTCCACCACAGACTAAGAAGGGATAGAGCATGAAACAAAGTTCTCTCATTAATCATGCTGATACTGTTTTAAGATGTTTGATTTCAGTCAGTGTGTGTTTGTTGGGGGGGTGGGGGGCGGGGCCGGGCGGGGGGGGGGGGGGGCAGGTTTGGAGTTGAAGCGGGGAGAAGTAGTGAATTAAGGTCACATACACACCAAGCAAGATTCTTGCAGATTCTTGCAACACAACATGCAAGGAATCTAGGACCAAGGAAAGAACTGAATGATTACCACCCACCCATTCCCAACTAAAGAGGAGAGAAAATTTCTTGTGATTGAGGGAAAATGGGAAGAATCTAGGGTACCTGGTTGTTAAAAAGCTGTAAATAAAGGCTTGGTTCTCATAGTGTGGGTGTGGTCAATGAGCTTCATAACAGTATCATCTTTCTGGGAATCCTAACTCAGGACACTCAGAGGCCGAAATACTTAGGCTGGACAGGGAATAAAGGGGAAGGGTAATTAATTGGCTTATCTGGGCCAGTCTGGCAGTCTAGGTTCTGTTTGAAAAAAGGTCAGAAACTTAAGAGCTTGAGAGCTGCTTATTTCATCAGGAATCTCAGTGAGTATCTTTGATCAGATTCCTAGGCCATCCTGGGCCTGGAGTTAGTCAGTTACAGATAGAGTGTCAGGTCCAGTAGAAGAATAAGAGAACAGTGTACATATCTGCCAGGGGGCAGAGGTGTTTTGGCACCCTGACTTGTTAGCCCAGCAGTGGGGACTAGACCACCTTCCTTTGAACCTATTTCTTTGCATCTTTCTAGGTCTCTAGACCTACATCCCTTAGCCTTTACCTCTACCTCCCTAGGTCCAAATCTTGGAAGGACCAGAATATGAGAGAGTAACTTTTAGTCTGAAGCCAGCCCCCTTAGCATGAATCTTAGCTGCTTTTTCCCCTAGCTGAAACAAGCCACACCTCTCTTGCTTAACCCTTTCTAGTTGCCCCTGTTTAAAGGATGGCCTCAGGACCCTTCTTTGTATGGATAGATTTTCTAGGTCACAAGCAGGATTACTCAGTTTTTTAAAAAATTAAAGTGTAATTGACTGGAGTATTCAATCTTGCTGTGCCAAGAGAAGGAAAGGGAAGAGAGCACTTGGATGTTAATTTTTTTTTTCTTCATTTCTAAGATGCAGTGGTTATACAAGTTCTAAAGTTTTACAAGTCAAAATTTTATAATTATATCATTCTAGACAGAGTTATTGGCTAAGGAGCTCTCATGTTGCAGAAAATTTAGTATTCATATCGTAGACATAAAAAATGTAAGCCACTCTTTCCCAACTTGAGAGTAATAGTGCCTTGGGAAAGTATGGAGTTATGATAAGAGATTGCGAAATCACTAACTCTGTTTTCATTATCTGTAGACCAGATCAACATCTCCTGTCTTTATGTACTACTATTTTTTAATACATATAAATTAATAAAAATTATTAATGTATTTTAAAGTATTATTGAACATATAGCAGTTGTTCATCATTATGTGTTTTTTCAGTCCATGCGTACTATACTGTGCTGTTTCTCATGGGATTCCATGAAAATTTTAGGTCCTAAAAGGGGATTCACATAATCTAAAAGGTTGGGATTCTCTGCTGTAAGACATTTTGAGGTGAGAGAATTAACAGCTTGAGTTAGAGTGTAGTTATTAGGCACTGCATGTTTAAGAGACAGTTCATTGAGAGAGAGAGAAATTATCAAAAAGAAAGTTCCTTTGTATGCTTTAGACACTAAAAGCCTCTGATTCATAGGCCCTGGGCTTCTTCCCCAGAGGCTGCAGCTATTTGTTTTGTTGGGTTTTTTTCCTTTCAGTTTTATTGAGGTAAAATTGTACTGTATAAGTTTAAGGTGTGACAACAGCATAATCGTTTGACTTACATTGTGAAATGATTATCACAATAAGCTTAGTGAAAGAGGCTGCTGCTCCTGACAGTTCCATGCATATTTTACTGGAAAACTTAACAGAGATCTATATAAGCTTGTTTATGTGTGCATATATATATATTGTTTAGTTGCTAAGTTGTTTCCAGCTCTTTTGTGACCACATGGACTGTAGCCCACCTCCATCCATGGGATTTCCCAGGCAAGAATACTGGAGTGGGTTGCCATTTCCTTCTCTAGGGAATCTTCCTGTCCCAGGGATTAAACCCCACGTTTCTTGCATTGGCAGATTCTTTATCACTGAGCCACCTGGGAAGCCGTGTATGTATATACACACATATACATGTATGTATGTGTGTTTTGGCTGAGCATGGCGCTTGTGGCTGGATCTTCGTTCCTTTACCAGGAGTTGAACCTGGGCCCTTGGCAGTGAAGGCATAGAGTTCTAAGCACTGGACTGCTAGGGAATTCCCTGTATAGGTTTTTTTAATGTGCTTTTACTTTTTTTTTTTTTAACAATGCTTCTATTCAGTAGAAATTTTAATAAAAATATTGAAGTGTTTGCTTTTAACTCTTGCCTTATAGTAAAATTTGTTAGAAAATGTTTTCCTAAAGAATGGGAAATTTTTAAATGCACTATTTAGATCTTATTTCCATAGCTAACAGGGAAACTTAAAAGGCAAATTATTTATTTATTTGCACCAAATCTTAGTTGCAGCATGTGGGATCTTTAGTGGGGCATGCAGACTCTTTAGTTGCCAATATGTGGGATCTAGTTCCCTGACACAGGGGTTGAACCTGGGATTCCTGCATTGGGAGCATAGAGTCTTATCCACGGGACCACCAAGGAAGTACCAGGAAACTTTTTTCAGGGTGATGACGGCGAGTACAGTGAAGAGGAAAACTCCAAAGTGGAGCTGAAATCAGAAGCCAATGATGCTGCTAATTCTTCAGCAAAAGATGAGAAGGGAGAGGAGAAACCTGACACCAAAGGTGCTGTGACTGGAGAGAGGCAGAGCGGGGATGGACAGGTTAGTGCCCACAAGGCCTCCATTTCCACTCGAGTTCTGGAACAGGGGCTCTTCAGCTTGGAGTGAGTAAAGAGCTCTTTATCTGTCCGACAGGAAAGCACAGAGCCTGTGGAGAACAAAGTCGGTAAAAAGGGCCCTAAGCATTTGGATGATGATGAAGATCGGAAGAACCCAGCATACATACCCCGGAAAGGGCTCTTTTTTGAGCATGATCTTCGAGGGCAGACTCAGGAGGAAGAAGTCAGGTAACAGCCCCTTGCTACTGCTGTGTAGTATGTTAGTATTATATGTATTCCATGCTTACTATATGCCAGGCACTTTACTAAGTGTTTTACCTGTATTATTTACTGTTCACAACATTTTAAGGTAAGTATTAGGATTATCCCCTTTGTACAAATGAGGAAAGTAAGACTTAGAATATTTAGTAACTCTTGGTGGAGGAGCTGGGATCCAGACCTGTATGTCCACTGCCTTCCTTAATCTGAGGCTCAACGCCTCTAAATACTTGCATAGGTGGCTTTACAGGAGAGAGATGTTTCCAGAGTGCTGAGTAGTTTGAAGTGAAGGCTTTCCTTATTTTTATTCCTGTTATGTTCACGCCCAGCAGGCCCTGAGGTGCTGTGATTCACCCTTGCTTTTGGAAGGCCTGTTTTGTGTAGCCTGTCTGGGAACATGGAGAGATTACCTGAGTTCCTAATGTTTCTCTGCCCAGCCCTGTTTATTTCATGAACATCTTTACTTGGCAGAGTCTGCCAACTTAACATACGTTTCCCTGGTTCCAACCAGACCCAAGGGACGTCAGCGAAAGCTGTGGAAGGATGAGGGTCGCTGGGAGCATGACAAGTTTCGGGAAGATGAACAGGCTCCAAAGTCCCGACAGGAGCTCATTGCTCTTTATGGCTATGACATCCGCTCAGCTCACAATCCTGATGATATCAAACCCCGAAGAATCCGGAAACCTAGGTGAGGACATTTTGGAGCCTGTATTATTGATATTTGCAAGAAAAAACAAAAAACTCTGCTTTTTAAAATGCCATTCTGGCCTGTAATTGAATGGGTGAGGAATATGGAAAGTCTGCCTGACCCACAGTTTATATCTCTAGTGGCCCCTTTTGTTATTTCTCTGTTTCCTTTGTTCAGGTTTGGGAGTTCTCCGCAAAGAGATCCAAACTGGATTGGTGAGCGGCCAAGTAAGTCTCATCGCCACCAGGGTCTTGGGGGCACCCTACCGCCCAGGACATTTATCAACAGGAATGCTGCAGGTACTGGCCGCATGTCAGCTCCCAGGAATTACTCTCGATCTGGAGGCTTCAAGGAGGGTCGTACTGGTTTTCGGCCCATGGAAGCTGGTGGACAGCATGCTGGCCGATCTGGTGAGACTGTTAAACATGAGACTAGTTACCGGTCTCGGCACTTGGAGCAGACTCCTGTAAGGGATCCATCTCCAGAAGCAGATGTTCAAGTGCTTGGCAGTCCTGAGAAGGAAGAGGTAGCCCCCGAGATACCAAATCCTGCTCCTGATACTGCACCACCAGCTCCTGACAGGCCTGTTGAAAAGAAATCCTATTCCCGGGCAAGAAGAACCAGAATCAAAGCTGGAGATGCAGGCAAGGTTGCAGAGGAGGCACCCCCTCCACCCGAAGGGCTGACCCCGGCACCTCCAATCCCAGAAGCTACATCTCCTACGCCTGCTAAGACTGGAAACTGGGAGGCTCCAGTGGATTCTACTACAGGGGGTCTTGAACAAGATGTGGCACAACTAAATATAACAGAACAGAATTGGAGTCCAGGGCAGCCTTCCTTCCTGCAATCACGGGAGCTTCGGGGTAGGTACCTAGGGTTAATAAGACTAGCTTTTATCCCTTTGCATCATTGGACTTAGGGGCATGGAACAAATGTCTCTTAGAGATCTGGTATCTGACAATATCTTCATTTTCATTAATTGTAAGAAACAGATGGATCCATAGGCATATTCATCCAAAGAGCTCAGAGCAGCTTTATCTGTTACATAAGACTAGCCCACTGCTTTGCTTACTGTTTACTATTAACTGATCAGTCACCACCATTGAGCTCCTGAGTGCAAAATCCTTTATCACTCTCTAGAAAAAGTGGAAGAAGGCAGTGTTCTTTATTATTTGAGCTAATGGTTAAATGTTTTAAGGCAGAAATTGCCTTTGAATTTGGATGAGCATCTCCTAATCTCTTTGAAAAGAAAGCCTCTCTAGTTTCCTTAGTCTTCTAGAGCCAGGCTGCCTAGTAGAACTCTCTGTAATGATGGTGCTTTTAAACACTTGTAATGTGGCCAGAGTGACTGAAAAACTGAACTTTTCATTTTTAATTATTTGAAATTTAAGTAACCATACGTGGCTAGTGGATATCATGTTGGTACAGCATAGTTCTCATGACTAGGAACTACCTACCACCCCTCTGACCCATCTTTTTTTTTTCTTCCTCCAGTCAGATAGATCAGAGGATCTTTTCCATTGTTTCTGAAATCTAATTCAAACTTAGATTGGAAAGCATCACTTGGACTGGCAGTTTTAGCATCCTTCTCTGGTGTGCGTAATTCTGGAATACCAAAAACTAGGGTAGCCTAAACTGGACCTGGAGTTGATCTTTGGATAGAGAAGTACACTCTCTCCTGCCAGTGCCTTATTACTATTGGAAGACAGTCTCTAGAACATTCCTTTTTTGTCCTGAGTCATCTTCAATCAGAGGAGAATCTCTTCCTATACTTTTAGCCTAGACCTCTGTGGCCAGAAATAATCAGAGGTAGATTTAGAACATCCTTCTCTGCCTAGTTGTTGCTCAGAAACATTAGGGTTGAGATTTTCCAATATGTTTGATAATGTAATATGCTGATTATAACCTCCCAGGGATTCTGTATGGTAAATATTTGATGGGAAAATTTTGAACTTGCATTTTCTGAGTTGCATTACTGAAGTAATTTTTTTTCATCTTCAAAGGCTTTACTGCTATATTAAGGTGGCAGGCAGTGGGGGCAAATTTCCAAATGCTGGTGTTGACAGGAAGCAGAGATAGTTTAAAACGAATTTTGTTAGTTTAAAAGATGAGAGCCATTCCCCATGTTGGATTCTTCACCCTGTCATTTTCTTCATGTATCTTTAGTTCTGTTCCCATCTGTCTGCTCTGTAGCAGTGACTTTTTTGGTGTTTTACAGGTATGCCCAACCACATGCACATAGGAGCAGGACCTCCACCTCAGTTCAACCGGATGGAAGAAATGGTACAGAGGAGGAAAGGGGCGCATGTAGAGGGTTGCATGTCACAGTTTGGTCACTGTTTAAGCAAAGTCAGTTTTCCCACATTTCCCTTTAATTCGGGTCTCTGGAAATGTACAGTTTAGGTTTGGGTTTAGAGCTTAATGCTTTTCATCAGTTTTTCAATTCATTTTGTAAAATTTTTTTTGGCATGTACATACTGCTGTATTTATTTGGTTGCGCTGGGTCTTCATTGGTACAACGGGTTTTCTCTAGTGGAGAGTGGGGGCTACTCTCTTCTTGCAGTGCACAGTCTTCTCATTGTGGTGGCATCTCTTGTTTTGGAGCACAGGCTCTAGGCACATGGGCTTCAGTAATTGTAGGATATAGGCTCAGTTGTTGCGACTTCCTGGCTCTGTGGCACACAGGCTTCAGTAATTGTAGTTCCCGGGCTCTAGAGCATGAGGACTTCAGTTGGTAGCACATGGGCTTAGTTGCTCCAAGGCATTCCCAGACTAGGGATCAAACCCATGTCCCCTGCATTAGCAAGCGGATTCTTTTTTTTTTTTAGCAAGCGGATTCTTATCAACTATGCCACCAGAGAAGTCTTGCAAATAACTTCTTTAACACTGCCATGTACCCAGTAAATGTTTTGCAGTATCTGTAGGATGTTAGGTCTTAATAGGAGAGTCAGCCTTCTGGAGGTCTTCTTGCTCAAACCTCTTTCTTTCTTTCAGGGTGTCCAGGGTGGGCGAGCCAAACGCTATTCATCACAACGGCAAAGACCTGTGCCGGAGCCCCCTGCCCCTCCTGTGCATATCAGTATCATGGAGGGACATTACTATGATCCACGTGAGTTTATTTTTATGCTGGGAGATCTTTCTTGGCAGGATGAAGTGAACTAAAAGACCAGCCTTCTGAGCTTCCCTTGTGACCTCTCATGGTGGTTAACAGACTTTCTCTGGTTGCTGTTTTCTTCATGTGGAAAATTGAGAACATCTTCTCAGGGGTTTGGGGAACAAGGAAACTTGTCTGTTTGATGGGAAGAGTGAGGATTTATGAGAGTCCCAATGTGATATCTTACAGTGCAGTTCCAGGGACCAATCTATACCCATGGTGACAGCCCTGCCCCACTGCCTCCTCAGGGCATGATTGTACAGCCAGAAATGCACCTTCCCCATCCAGGTAAGCTGTGAACCTCTGCTTGTATGCTTCCAGTACGTAAGGATGTGTGTTGGGGGCATCACAAACCCCAACCTTCTCAGCTCTATGCTGCTTGCTTATGAGGCTGGCCACTTTGACTACATGGGCAACAAACTCCTCTTGGGTCCATCCTGAGGAATTGAAATCTAAGCCTGTTTGTGGTGAGCAGTCCAGCCAGGCCATCCCATGGAAAAGGTATTACCTTTTGTTTCAATTGTTGTTTCTTCTCCTTGTCCAGGTTTACATCCCCACCAGACACCAGCGCCTCTGCCCAATCCAGGCCTCTATCCCCCACCAGTATCCATGTCTCCAGGGCAGCCACCACCTCAGCAGTTGCTTGCTCCTACTTACTTTTCTGCTCCAGGCGTCATGAACTTTGGTAATCCCAGTTACCCTTATGCTCCAGGGGCATTGCCTCCCCCACCACCTCCTCATCTGTATCCTAACACACAGGTGAGATGGCTAATGAGATTTTCCTAAGGATACATCCTTTAAATCAGACAGGAATATAGGATGAGGAGAATACTCAAGGAATTCTAGAGAGCATTTCAGTGCCACTAATTTGCATGTGGTGGTAGGAGCTGGAAATGCTACTTAGGTGATACCTATCATGTGTGTATTCGCTTCCATTTTTTTAATGGTTTCATTGATTGAAGTGTTTTAGTATGTCTTAGGTGGGCATGTCTGCAGTTTATCTAACTGCATAATAAAGCCATATTCTACCTACCAGCCTTCCCCTCCCCTGTACTGTTTAACTCCCAACAGGTTAACACCATCTGGTATCTGGAGTGTTAACCACTGAGCTCAGTGCCTTGCGTTTGTCAGCTGATGGTAGGAATTAGAGAAAGCTGGGCAGTACTTTGAAGAAGTGGGAACTATATTAAGACATACTAAGGCAGAAAAGAATAATTATTTTAAAGGGGGGCAGCTTAGAAATTCCTGTGTACACTTACAGATTCCCCTTATAAATTATAAAAAATTCCCCTATACTCTTTTATTTTTGTGCCTGAATAATATTTCCTTTTACCATAGTTTGGATGAATTAATTCCTTTTTCTTTTCCTTGCTTATTGGGCTCCCAGGCCCCATCGCAGGTATATGGAGGAGTGACCTACTATAACCCCGCCCAGCAGCAGGTGCAGCCAAAGCCCTCCCCACCCCGGAGGACTCCCCAGCCAGTCACCATCAAGCCCCCACCGCCTGAGGTAATGAGAGCGCCTAGGAAAGGAGCTCTAAATAAAGGATGGTAGGGCACATCTGACAGCAGTGGGCTTTCCTTTTCTTCAGATTTTCCTCCTTTTCTTGTTGTATTTCTATGGAAAATGATCTTTTTTTCTTTTTCTTCTTTTTAAAAATAATGACCTGATAACAAATTCCAACTTTATGATTTCAGGTTGTAAGCAGGGGTTCCAGCTAATACGAATTTCTGAATATTTTAAATCTAACGTCAAATAAAAGTAAGTGTAAAACTTACTGTGACTCAGAATGTTCTTAAAACTAATGTTCATGCTTCCTTGCTCAACAATCACCTAATTAACGCTCTAAGTTTTAATCACGGGATATCTCAGGGGGAGGCTTAGAGGAGTCCCAAAGTTTGCCAGTGTCTTTGTTTTATGAATGCATTGAGTAGGGTTGAGTGGAAACCATTGTTAGTATGGCAGCATTTTGAGAAGATGGAAGGAAAAACTGGAAGAGGGCATTCTTAATTAAAGGAAAGGGGAAACCTGAATTTGAGGTGTTACAGCAGAGCCAGTCTAAAGGTTGTGGAGGAGGGACTTCCTGGTGGTCCAGTGGTTAAGACCGAGCTGCCAGTGCAGAGGATATGGGTCCGGTCCCTGGTCAGGAAACCAAGATCCTACATGCCATGCAGCATGGCCAAAAGAATTTAAAAAATAGTAATAATAAATTTTTAAAACCACTCTTTAAAAAACAAAGGCTGTGGAGGACAGAAACCAGGAGGTTTTGTTGTATTGTTTTAGGGATATTTCTTTAGTGTACATTATTTAGAATTGTGGCTTTTTGAAAATAGCTTGTAAATGCCTAAAAGGTCCAGTAACATTTTGATGGTTCTTCCCTTTTTTTCACTCCTGTCAGGACAGCAGAAGTGAAAACCTAGGAGAGAAGAGAAAACAACTGGCTGTCTGCTACCAGGAGAGCTTTGAAGATCCAAGGTGGCTCCTACCAGCAAGCAGCTAAATGAAGAGGACCCCTGCCTTCCTCTGAGGATAGGCTGTGTTGGATAAAGGGAGAAACAAGTGGACTTCCTCCCATTTTCAGTTTGTGTTTGTGTCAGCTGTGCTCAGAGGAGCAGAGATCCAGACAGCCCAGGCTTCTGAGTCTAGGAGCCCACGTCTTTTGCTCTTCTTTGCTTTCTCCTGGGAAATTCGTGTCTTCTCCTCCCAGGGAAGCTTGGAAGCTCCTTCCTGTTTGTTTTGTTTTCTACGATGTTCATTTTTAAAGCCTGGCTTGTTATTCTTAAATTAATATTCTTTTAGTCCATCACCCCACCCCCATCTCCTCACTATATTTTGTCATCTTCAAGACAGTGCTCACTAACTGATGATGTTCTTGGGCATTTGTTTATGAGTTTGTTTATGGAGCCTTTAAATTAAACAAGTTCATTCTTTGGTTTGCTAGCTCCTCTGGGTTCCTTTTGGCTTTTCCCTACATCCCAGATAATTGAGAACTTAGCAGCCAGTCTGCCCCCACCAAGTCTACAGAGAGTTGACCTTTCATTTTTTTCTTGGCCTTTTTTATTGTGTACTTGGAGTTTGTTAAGTCTTCTAATACTGTGGAAGCATTGCTGTCTGCACAGAATGTCCCATTGTGGAGAAAATCTCAGTGTGGTAGGAGCCCCTTTTCTTGACTTGGGTTTTTAGAATTTTGAGCCTCCATCAGTCTCTGTACTCTGATAATCTTTAGTTCTCTGCTGAAGGCAGAGTGTCCACAGTGGGGAGAGATGGCAGACCAGATGCTTTAGTGAGAAAGGGAGGGTAGAGTGAGCGCCTTTGTGCCGTAGGGGTGTGTGTGCACAGTCCTCAGGGCTCAGTCTGTGAGGTGAGTGGAATTAGAGGGCTCTGCTCTTTTTCCATCCTTTCTACCACACCCTTTTCCAATTGCTATGGACCAATGCATCTCTAGAGGTAAATATTACCTAGCCAGCGATCGTCCCTGTCCATTGCAGTTGCCCTTCTCCTCGTCTTTCCTGCTATAAGTGTTTGAGGTATTGCTACCTTATTTTTCCAAGGACAGTTTTACTCCTGTCCTTGCAAACAGAATACCACACCTGGGCCTAAAAGCAGTCACTTTTCAGGACAAGGGCTCCTCCCTCCTTTCCTCCCTATCTGTGGCACTGAACCACTCCCCTGCTGCCTCTGCAGAAGAGATTCCTGTTACTATGGCACTTGCATCTGCCAGGGATCACTTGGCCACTGTCCCTGTCCTACAGAACCTGAGGGAGAAGGTGGCAGCTGTGTCTCTCCCCAAGTAATGTCACTAATTCTGTCCCTTCTCTTCAGCAGTTGGCTTAACCACTTTGAGTCACAGGTGTGGGGTGGGAGGGGAGAGAGGCACTCAAGCTGGAACCCCCAAGGAGGAAATAACTAAGAGATTCTTCCAAGGGTAGCGCATGGTTGTGCCTTTTGTAGGCTGTTCCCTTTGCCTTAAACCCGAAGATGTCTCCTCAAGCCAGTGGGCCGCATGCCCAAATTCCCAGACCTTAAGACACTGTGACAGTTGTCTCTGTTCGTCCACTGTTTTGTTGCAAGAATTTCTCCATGTGTATTGTTGTTTGTAACTGTTTTAAAGAGCGCACATATGTGATTGGCATTGTGACTTGAAGATAATAAAATTTAGACATGTAAACCTAGCTCCTTTGCCAGTGTTTCGCATGAGTCTTGATTTGGGAGGGAGGGAAGAGGACTCCCTGACTCCATAGAGTCACAGTCACGACTCTGGCCAGCTCAGACTTGAGAAATGGAAGCCCAAAGAGGTGAGAAGCCCCAGTGGGGCCACACGTGACTCCCCATCGAGTAACTTTCTTAACCACATTGGCGCATAGACACCAGGAATATGCAGTCCCTTAGACTGGAAGTGCAGGGGCCAGAAAAACGAATAGATGCTGTGTACCCACATGAACATCTAGTATCCCTCATGCCTGCCTTTGTGTTTGGCAAGCAAGTTTCCCAGGGCGGTACCCCACATGTCAGTATAACTGTATCAGGTCCTGGATAAGGGGGAGGTGCGGAGAAGTAGCTGTCCTCTTGAAGTTTGCACTGGCACTGAAATATCAAGGACCACAGTCTAAGAGGCTTGTATCAGTCTTAGTGCAGTTAAAGAAGATGGAACACTCCAGTATTCTTGCCTGAGAAATGTCATGGACAGAGGAGTCTGGTGGGCTACATTCCATGGCATTGCGGAGTTGGACACAACTTAGAACAACACAATCCCACAGATTGTGATCTGGGGAAATAGTTCTTGATGGAAATGTGGCATAAGATGAAGAGTGACCTAGCAATATGGAATATACAGTCTTGTAAGAAATAAAAATTTATGTACAGAATAATTAATAGTTGCATATATTCAAAGTCTGGCTAAAGGAAAAAAGGAAGAGGAGAGATCGAAAGACCAGCTCTGGCTTATGCTGCCAGTTAGCTAGGCCACTGGGAAGCTAGCTTTGAGTTGACTTATTTCCTCCTCCAGGTCCTGGGTGGTGTGGAAGTTTACTACAAAGGCTGTCCCTGGTGTGGGGCAGCAATTGAATTAAGTGTGGAGCTGGCAGCATGTGTCCTTGAGTCCCACAAGTCTTTGTGGTACATCTTCAAATGACAGTTGGGACTCCCTCCTATGCCCCTTGCTGCTGCTGCCACAGCCAGAGAACCATTGACTCTTCTGATCCTCACCCCTGATTTCTCTTTGAATCATGTCAGTTAACTTCCCTTCTCCTCCCCTGCAGAGTGATGGGTAACTATGTTCCTGATCTCTTGGGGTCATATAAAGAATGCCAGCCAGCCTTGGGGGTGGGTCGCTAGCAGGAGGAATAAGCATGTTTAGATACTTCCCCCTTACCCCTGCCTCTTGATTCTCCAGTCCTGCAGTTAGATCCCATTGCTCTCTCTGTTGCCCTGGTAACCAGCTCAGCAAGAAGAAACTCAAGCTCAGCAAAGCCCCCAGGTTCTCTGCCCTCCCAGCCTCCCTCTCAGTGGGTAGAAAGAAGGCAACTGTTAGGGGCAGACAGATCAGCCTTAGGTAGCCCTTCTCTATCCCCTTCCAGAAGCCCATGGACTGGGTGCTTAAAGTTTTTGGCCCCCTTCTCCTCACAGGTGTTAATCACACCACCCTCTCTCCCTCTGTTTCTTCCATCATAGAGTGTAGATGCCTTGACAACCATCCTCCTCATGAGGTCAGCACATGGGCCTTATGGGAGACTCAGGACAGCAAAGGACTTAGAATCCCAAAGTTGTCTCCCAGCATCAGTAGCCCACTTAGGTTGGGTTGTCCCTCTAGGGCAGTGATTCTCAATCCTGGCTACACAATCACTTGGGGATACTTTTTAAAAAATACCATAAACTTGGCCCTACCTCAGAGGTCTGATTAATTAATTTGAGGTGTGGCCAGGGAAACAGTATTTTTGAAAAGTTCCTTGGATTACAATGTCCAATTGGGGCGAGAACCACTGCTGCTCTAGGAGCACTATAACTTGATGTTGGTTTTCCTCTCTGATTCAAGGTCTTGAACTTAGTCTATGCCTGATATTCTTGAGTAGTTGGAGGGTGCTGGGGTCCTGTTCCCCAATTCCAATTTCCAGGAGTCTCTTTGACCCTTGTATTTGCAGCCCCCACACACTCCACACTCCCCAATTCTTCCCCCTTCCTAAATGACAATCCCAAATCCTGCCCAGAGAGGACGTTACCAAGGCAACCAGCTTAATCTGGCAACTGTGGCATGTGCTGGGAGTGGAGCCCTCCTCTCCTTACTCAGTTCATAAAATGCTTGGGGAGCTCCAAGCCACTCCAGCCAGTTTCCCCTCTTGACCCCAGGGACATCAGGGTATCCAATGAAAAGAGTATCAGGAAACTGATACTTGAATCTCTATTCCAGCTTCTCAGCCAAAATTGTTCTCTCTCTTTTTTTACTGTTCCTTTTTGCAAATCCACAAACAGATGGGTGTGCAAAGCTTTAATTCTGTGAACACATGCTCTTGTACACATCAGACCAGATAAGCACACACGATGACACGTGTAGTACACACCCTGTTCAGTTTTACCACCACTCCCAGGCTTTCGCATTCCTGTCTCTGCCTGGCCCATGCACAGTAAACAGAGGTGGGGCATTGTCCAAGGAGCCTCAACCCATATGTTGCCTGGTGCCACACCCCCACCTTGGTACTTTAACCTTGACGTGCTTACACGGAGCGTGTCTCCATACCCGCCTCTCCCTGGGACAGTCTATCCTTAGCGACAGAATGCTTTGGGCATAGGCATCAGAAATAAGGATCATCTGGAGTGCATGTTCCGTAACCACTCCATGGCTATGCCACCTCTAGAGTGTCTCTCTATGCCTGATGGTGTTGGTTGGCAGTTCTAGAGCTTGACACCCATCTCCAGGACTCTGCTTCCTCCTGCTGCCAGTAGGTGAGAGTGCCCTTGTGCTCCTGGCCTCGCTCTCCCTCTGCCTACCATCTCTTCTCCTCACCCTAATTAGACCTGCCACAACCTGCTGCTCTCTGCTTGGCTCCTGCCTGCCTGCCAGTACCTGCCTCTCACAGGCCAGGCCCTCACCATCTATTGTGCCCTACCAGAAAGGGCAGATGGGTAGTGCCCCCCTGCCCCCCTCCCCCATTCCAATGCCAGTTCACTCGAGGCCTACCCAGCCCTTTTTACAGAAAGAAGATAAAGACCACATCCTCCACTGAGTATGGCAACAGAGCGCACAATCGAGATCGAGAGTGATGGACACTCAATCAGCAATTTTTGTAGGCCTCACTTGAATACAGGCAGGTCCATCAAGGTGTGCAGCCTGATTTTTTGCAAGAGTCCCCGTAAGCCTCGAGCCAGGAAGCTCCCTCTCCACTGGCAAATGACTCCCTCGCCCTTGCCTTTAATGTCTGCGTTTACTCGGAACCCAATCCCCTTCAGCCCCTTACTGTTTTCCTCACGGTCAGCCCCAGCGCCCAAGTTCAAGCCTCGCGCGGCCCAGGTGGGCGGGCCCATGAAGGGTAGGGGCGGGGACTGGGCGGGGACTGGAGGAGGGGGCGCGGTCTCAGTTCTGCCACCTTCCCCCCGGCCAGGAGCGCAGCCGCCGCTGCCGCCGCCGCGTCCTCTCAGCCTTGCGCTCCGCCCGCTGCCTCTGCCGCCGCAGCCCGGCCCAGGAGCGCAGAGCCTTTGGGCACCGGCCCCGCAGGCTGCCCACCCTTCGGGCCGCGTGCGCTGCAGCCGGCATGGGGGGCCACTGAGAGCCGGTACTCCTTCCCTCTGGCACCTCCCCCGATCACTGACCACTGGACTCCGGCCAGCGAGCCTCGGGCACCTCTGGCCCCCAGTCCGGAGCCTGGCACGGCCCTCAGCTCTGTCCCTCCGGCTCTGAGCATCGTGTCCCTGCCCCCCCCGCCCGTGCCTGGGACACCTGGGTCCCCCGGCGGCCCCGAGGAGAGGGGCGGGGGGGGGTGGTATGAAGCCGCTGGAGAAATTTCTGAAGAAGCAGACGTCGCAGCTGGCGGGGCGAACGGTGGCGGGAGGTCCCGGCGGGGGTCCGGGGAGCTGCGGCGGGCCTGGAGTGGGTGGGGGACCTGGCGGGGGCGGCGGTCCAGCCGGGGGACCGCGGCCGCTGCAGCGGCGTCAGAGCGTGTCTCGCCTGCTGCTCCCAGCTTTCCTCCGGGAGCCCCCCGCCGAGCCGGGGCTGGAGCCGCCCCCAGAAGAGGACGGGGGAGAGCCGGCGGGGGTCGCGGAAGAGCTCGGCAGCGGGGGGCCCTGTTGGCTGCAGCTGGAGGAGGTGCCGGGGCCCGGGCCGCTCGGGGGAGGGGGACCCCTGCGCTCCCCTTCCTCATACTCCTCAGACGAGCTGTCCCCCGGCGAGCCTCTGACTCCTCCACCCTGGGCCCCTCTGGGCGCCCCCGAGCGGCCGGAGCATCTTCTGAACTGGGTTCTGGAGCGGCTGGCCGGAGGGGCCACCAGGGACAGCGCCGCTTCAGGTAAGGAGTGGGCTGGCTCATCCATCCCGGAGTAGGGTTTGCCCCCTCCCCCGCCCCGGTCCTCTTGCTTGCCCTTGGACGGTGAGGGTGGCGCCGTGCGGGAGCCTCGGTGTGGGGTTGAGTGGTCAGCTGAAGTGGCGTAGGGGCCTACCGGAGGGACAGAGCTTTCTGCAGCAGAGAAGTGGCAGTGCCACCTTCCTCCGCGTAGCAGCCTCACCCACGCCTGGAGAAGAAGCTGAACCCCTTTCCCTCATTGAGCTCCCTTCCTCTCCCCTGGACATTTCATCCAGACCCTATGGGTCCCCGGTGTTGACTACCTCCTTCTGTGGCTGAGAATTCGAGCTTGACCCACTAAGATGGAAGCTGCCCAGACTGGTCAGTGCAGCCCTCTAGAGGTGGCCAAGCCCTGAAAGACCTTCGAGGAGTCCCCGGTTCTCTTTAGAAGGCCCAGAGCAGAGGGCTGGCCCACTTGGCGGGGCAGGGCCAGACAGGCACATGGCGGCCTGAGCTGCCTTTAGGCCCTGGCAAAGGGATGCATTGTCCCTAGCAGCTTGGGGAGGGGGAGGGTGTGGAGGGAGGCATTCTAGTTGGGGGTGGATTCAGAAGGTGTCTGGTGGCTGGGCAGACCTCAGGCCCTGCAGCATCCAGGGGGGTCTGAACCTCTCCAGCTCCCACCCTTCCGGTGGCAGGCCTCAGCACAGGGCCTCTTTAAAAATAACCACACCCTGAGAGGCTTATTCCCTAAATGATGAAGCTATTTTGCCACTCCCCACAAGCACCCCTGCTAAGGAGATCTTGAGGAAACTGAGGCCCCAGATTGCTGGTTAGCAGCTCTGAAGTAAAAGATCCAAGGGTTTTCAGGGCTAGTTGTCAGCGTTTCACTAACACCCAGTGGGGTCTGAGGACTGGGAGCCCAGGCTGAGGGCCTACGGATAGGGGTTTCACACTTTGCTCCTAGACCTTTGCAGGGAGCCCTAACCCAGGTGTGCGGAATGGGGCTCCACTCCCCTAGATTTTTCTCAAGACCCAGGTACTCTCCTTGGCTCAGGTTACAGTTGCCCTGGGGAGCTGACACCTTTTGGATTTAATTAGAAAAATATCAGACACACACAGCTCTCTTAACCATAACTTCCCGCCTACACCACACACACTGTGTCTCTATGACACATTCCCTGGGGAGGCTGTGCATTGGACCAGAGCCTGCCTAGGAAGAGACAGACACCAAGCTGTAGCCCCTATGGCAGCATCTCCCCCACTCTGCCCCATGGGCCTCTTCCTTTGTTGGTTCTGTTTAGCTTTCCTGTGAGATAAAGAATGGAGGGAAGGTTTGGGGGCATCCCTAGTCCTCATCCCCCTCCCTGGGGCTGAGGATCAGGGCTGGGGGGCTCTCTGACTCACTTTAAAGACTGGGCAGAGAGAAAAAGGGAGAAACTGTCTTTCCACTTTTGCCAGGGCCTAGTACCACAGACGCTGCTCATTGTCCCCTGGGGAAGGACTCTTGAACTGACTGTCACTGTATTACCTGGACTGGCAGGCTGGATCTCCAGAGTAACTGGTCCGGGGAAACCCCAAAGCAGTCCCAGAATAGATGAGAATCAAGCTTAACCTGCCACTCTGATATTCTCCAATATAACTAATATTCTTAAGCCATCTCAGTTCCCTCCCAGGGCGTGTGGGCGGAGGAGACTTACAAAAGCTACCCCAAACAAGCCAAAGCAGCCCCCCGCTGCCCACTGTACTTCACTCTGACATTCTGCTTGCCTCAAGCACAGTGAGAAAAGAACAGAATCTCAGGAGTCAGGGTTCTTACTCCAGCTCCAAGCAAGTTCCTCTCAGCTCTGGGCCTTGGTTTCTCATTTGTGAAATGAAATCATTGAAGTTGAGGATCTCATGTTGATTCACCCGCTCCACTTTCATGGCTAGAATTGGAGGCCAGGGGATGGTGACCCAAGGGCCATCAGAAGCCTTGGGGCAGTGCCTGGGGACCTGGCCCTAACCTGTTCTGGTGAGGACACCTGGCTCCCTCCCCGGGCCCTGCCTGTCTGTGTGTGCCAGGATGCCCTACCCCACCCCAGGGCTGGCTGCAAGTCAGGGCGACCTTGTACCTGGCTGACTGGCTGAGCCAGGCCCAGATGGAGGTGTGGAGGGGAAAAGGGTGGTGTGAGGAGCCACTCCCCTCCACCCTTGCATCATTAACTCTTCCATCCCTGGGCAGCTGGAGGACACAAGCTTTCTATTTAAAGGCTTTGGGATCAAAGAGATGGCAGTCGTCCCTTTCCCTTTTAATGGGGCTGGTTCTCACCTGCCTAGTTGGAACTCAAAACTCTTAGGTAGGGAGTGGGGAGGAGAGGAGGAACACACACACACACTCACACACACACACACACACACACACACACACACGCCTCCGCTGACCCTACCTCTGTGCTTAGAGGTTCTCTTGGCCTAGAGACACTTCTAGAAGCTACCTCTCTTTTTCCCCCGGACAGATCTCAAGCTTGGCGTATTAAGTGACCCGCTACCCACGCACACTGGAGAGAAGTGGGCGTGGCCATTGGAAGGCGCCCCCTCCTTCCCTCCAGCTGCCTTGGCAGCTGCCAACCCCACCCCCGCAGCGGCTGCCCAGAACCTTCACGTGTGTGTGTGTGTGTGTGTGTGTGTATGTATGGTGGGGCATGTGCAGAGCATGACCGGGCAGGTGTCTGAGGCTCCAGCCCGGCTAAAGAGAATTTGCCCTGGAGGCAAGAGAGGGGGAGTGGTGAGCCTCCAACCAGGTCCTGGAGGTGCCCTCCTGACATCAGTGGTGGTGACTGCTCTTACAGATACCCTGCTGGATGACATCGTCCTCACTCATTCGCTCTTCCTTCCCACGGAGAAATTTCTTCAGGAGCTGCACCAGTAATATCCTTTTGTGGAGCTTGCGAAATGGGAGGTCAGGAGGGAGCCACTCCCTGCATCCCACATGCCATGGGATGTGAGGGGCTAAGCTCTTCCTAAAAAAACACACATGGGTTTCAACCCCAGGTTCTTCACTCACCAACTGTGTGACCCCGGGCAGATCACCTGACCTCCTGGGGCCTCAGTTTCCCCTTCTGTAAAATGGGGCTAAACAGTACCTGCTCCTGGGGCTGCTGTGGAGACCATTCTGGGAGCAGAGGTAGGACTGCTTGGAGACTGCAGAGCCCTGTATAGATGTAAGGTGTTATTATTCTATTAAGAGTGCCTCTCTCCCCACTGAATTATTGCTCTAAACATCCGGTTGCCCAGAGAGTTATTACAGGGTCTGATGTAAACATCAGGTCACAGCGGTGCTTTCATAGGGTCACTAGAGACAAGTCACTGACTGGGCTATTCATAGGGCCTCTCAACGAGTTATTCTAGGACCTAATTGTAAATGGCAGGCCAGTGAGTAGAATATCATAGGTTCTCTTTGAAACACCAGGCCTTACACGGAGAGATGGTCAGGTTTGTGGTTAGCACCATCGGCCTTTAGCAGCCTGCTGTCAGCTCAGCGCTGTGGGCTGATCAGGTGGGTCCAGGCAGAGTAGCTTCTAGTGAATTTCTTCAAGTGAAATTCAAACAAGCAAGAGCTGCATGTGGTTGAGTGGGTGCCATCCCTACCTACTCTGGCAAAAACCTGGGCTGGGGCATGGGTCTTGGTTCCAGGGAACTTCAGAGCCCCTTTCTCTCTGACCCCAAACCTAGGGAATTTTTAGGGGTGGCCTTGCCTCCCATTGCAAAGCCTTGCCTCCCATACGCCTTCCCAGTGTCCTCAAGTCTGCCTGCCAGGGCTTTTTCTTAACTTAGGGGTCAGCTTTGTTTGGGCAGGAGGCATGGAAGGCCCCGAGGGGGTGGGCCGGAAGCAGGCCTGTCTAGCCATGCTCCTTCATTTCTTGGACACCTACCAGGGGCTGCTGCAGGAGGAAGAGGGGGCTGGCCGCATCATCAAGGTGGGCCTGGGATGAGAAGGTGGGTGACCAGGCTGTTTGTTCTGGAAGGGGCCCTTTTGAAGGAGCCATAGTTCTCAATCTGGGTACCTGGAAAAAAAGAGGCCAGCAAGTCCTAGCTTATACAGTTCTTCTGTGCTTGAAGTCATGGAGGCCCGGCCCTGCCCTTGCAGAGAGTGATGCTGGGATGAGACCCCTGCCCTCACCTTCTTTCTCCTTGTCTCTGCAGGAGCTGTACCTGCTGATTATGAAGGATGAGTCCCTTTACCAGGACCTCCGAGAGGACACACTGCGGCTGCACCAGCTTGTGGAAACAGTGGAGCTAAAGTGAGGGGAATGGGCTTGGGGAGGGGCCAAGAAAGAAGTCCCCCTTGTTCCTCAATTAGAGGGCTGGGTGCCTCTGGCCTTTGGACTCCAAGATGCCTTGATTTCAGTCCCTTTCTCTTACTGGAGAGGAGCACAGAGCATTGTCTCCAGTCATTTTGGGGGTCCATTCTCCCCTCCACTTATTTGTCAGTCCAGGGGTGTACTGATAAATATTGAACAGCCAGCACTTCAGGAAGAAGAGCCCTGACTTGTAGCTTTTGCTGATTCCCATGGTGTAAATTCTCTCACCATGGTTGATTTCAAGCTCCCAATGGATGTCATTGAATGTGAAGTTGGGAAGAGGTGTGCAGTAGCAGGTCATTGTGTAGTATCATCACAACCTGAAGAGCACAGAGAAGAGTGTAGTGAAACAATTAGGAAATGACTTTTTTTTGTATTATAATAATTTGGCTATAAGTTTATAAAACATATATCTATTTATATATAATTATCTATTATAATTAATTTTTTAATGGCTGTGTTTAAAACCAGTTGGCAAAATTCTCCAAAATTTAACAGTCTGCCTTTATAAGCCATTGTGAGCTGACTTCAAGACACCACGGTGTCCATCTGTCCATCTTTCCAGCTCTTTCAGTTTCTCCATCCCACTGTCATAACCCTCATTGAGGCTTCAGTATCTTTCACCTGGATTATGGCTGCAACCTCTGATCCAGGGCTTTAGCTTATGGTTGTGTCTTTCTTATGCTGGTGCCACAGAGATTTTTCAAACTTGACAACCTTGTGCTTCTGTTAGCAAAATATCCATGCCCTCCACCGCAGCATCCTAGCCCCTCTCTGTCTGCCTTCTGCTGATCCTTCCCATCTCCCTCATCACCCCTTACCCATGACACTCCCTATATACCCACCAATTCCACGAACACCTGTGTGTTCTCAACTTCCTGCCATCACTTATATGGTCCACCCCAGAGTGCCTTCCTCCCACCCCCTTCCCTTCCTGTTGTCCTTCAAGGTCCAGGCCAAATACCATCTTCTCAGTGAAAGCATCTTTTGGTGATAGCTGTCCCCCCTCCCTCCCTGTACCAACAAAACTCTTCTTGTGCCTTTATTATATCATCTAACACCTCCTGTCTGATGTGAGAAGTAGCTGTACGCAAGTCTGTCTCCCTCCCAGACTGTGAAGTTTTTGTCGGTAAAATTCAGCAAACAGCTGATGACCTACACCTACCATGTAGCAGGCAGCGTGCTAGGCCTGGAGGTTGAAAATAAAATTCAGTCAGCTCTCAATCTTGTAGAAGAGATAAGACACGAAGGTAAACACATACTAGCCCAATGTCCTACAGCCATTGAGACAAAAAGGTGACCTCTGCTGGTGGGTGGGGTGGATAGAGAAGAATTCAGGGAGGAGGTGGCATTAGATTCGGTCATTCGGACAGCTGTCCCATGCTGGCCATGGTCCTGTCTTCTGACCTCCTTCACCACTCTCTGAACCTGATACTGGGGTACCCTTGACCCAGTTCTGACGTCCCTGCTTGATGCTGCCTGCCTGGCATGCAAGATGCCTGGCCAGGCTCTCTGATGCCCAGCGGTGTCGACACCAGGATCCCAGAGGAGAGCCAGCCGCCCAGCAAGCAGGTGAAGCCACTCTTTCGCCACTTCCGTCGGATAGACTCCTGTCTGCAGACCCGCGTGGCTTTCCGGGGTTCCGATGAGAGTGAGTGTTCTGGGGGCTCTGAGGGGTCTCCGGACCGCGGGCGCCCTCTATGGGGTTTCCTTCTGTCTCAGAACCAGTCCTTTTCACAGCATCTTTTTTGGAGGCCAACTCATTTCAGATTGCAGTGGGGTGGGGAACAGAGGTGCTCAGCAGGGGGCTGTGCTGATGCTGCCATTCTGCCCACTGGTGAAAAGCCACCTTCCGGTCTCTGTTTAGTCTTCTGCCGGGTCTACATGCCTGATCACTCTTACGTGACCATACGCAGCCGCCTCTCAGCATCTGTGCAGGACATTCTGGGCTCTGTGACCGAGAAGTTGCAGTACTCAGAGGAGCCTGCGGGGCGTGAGGATTCCCTCATCCTGGTTGCTGTGGCCTCCTCAGGAGGTGAGGGTCAGAAAGAGCTGGGCTGGGGTGGGGGAGTGGTGGGACAAGAAGAGAAACTCACAAACCCAGTGCCCTGGGGCAGAAGTAACAGCTGAATTCTAGGCCCTGGCTGCTACTCTAAGTGTGGTCCTAGGACCAGCCACAGGAGCATCACCTGGGAGCTTGCTAAAAAGTATCTCCACCCCCACCCCAGACCTGCAGTCAGAATGTGCATTTTAACAAGATCCCCAGGTGACGTCTATGCATATTAAAGGGGACACATTGGTCCAGGACACTTGGATGCTGCTCTGGGTGCTTGCCTCTTACTCATCTAGGGATCTGATCCTCTAACCTCCTCAAGCATCTAAGGATGCTACATTTTTGAGACCAAAGACACAGGATGGGCCTCCAATCCCTGTAGGAAGGCAAAAATCCCTGCAGTGTAGTTATAGCCTTATTTTCCTCTAAGACATAAAAAAAAATCCTGTTTTCTCAGTGTCACTGGGATGATAGAATAAGAGAAGAGCTAAAAAGAATGTTGGGAGTCAAAAGGAGGTTGTAAATGCAAGACAATCCATTTTTTGAAAACTGTTGTTTAAATACAGCATAGGCCAGTGATGACAAGTCCCGTTAGCCTAGAGTACATCTGTGCAGGGTTGGGAGCATCGGGATGGGGCAGTGGCTGGGGGATGCGAGGGTGCAGGGGTCGATGCTGAGGCAAAGCAGCTCATTCTCCTGCAGAGAAGGTCCTTCTCCAGCCAACTGAAGACTGTGTCTTCACCACACTGGGCATCAACAGCCACCTGTTTGCTTGCACCCGAGACAGCTTTGAGGCCCTGGTAAGAACTCCTTCATAACTCTTGGCTGGTAGCAGAGGCTGAGAGGGGCTGGGCCAGAAATTCACAAGCCCAGCCCCTGTGCCCCTGCCTGCCCCACCAGGTGCCCCTTCCTGAGGAGATCCAGGTCTCCCCTGGAGACACGGAGATCCATCGTGGGGAGCCTGAGGACGTGGCCAACCACCTTACCGCCTTCCACTGGGAACTGTTCCGCTGTGTGCACGAGGTGGGGACTGAGGCTGCAGCTGGGCTGGGGGCCTGCAGAGAGGCAGCGCTCTGGGCTGAAAGTTCTGGTTAGGACGCTCCGCGCCCTTGCAGCATGCCTTGGGGCAGTTTGCCGCCAGAACGTCTCTAAGCCTTTGTCCCCGTATCTGGGGAATAAGAAAAAGCGAAGAGAGAGGACCATCCCCCGCCCCCCATCAGGGTGGTTCAGGATCCAAGTGGCGCTTATACAGAACCTGACCCACAGTTAGCATTTGTAAAATATTCACTATTAAAGAAAAGGCAGAGACAGTAATGTCGATCAGATGGTTCAAGCGCCTGGCAGCGTGTAAGCTTTCAGTAGATGGTAGAGTATTATTAATGTTGGTTGTTTCCCCTCCCCGCCTCCCCCCGTTGCATCAGCCCTGGCGGCCCTTCTGCCGCCGCGGCTGCAGTTGGAGTTCGTGGACTACGTGTTCCACGGGGAGCGCGGCCGCCGGGAGACGGCCAACCTCGAGCTGCTGCTGCAGCGCTGCAGCGAGGTCACCCACTGGGTGGCCACCGAGGTGCTGCTCTGCGAGGCCCCGGGCAAGCGCGCGCAGCTGCTCAAGAAGTTCATCAAGATCGCGGCCATGTGAGTGCGGCCGGCCGCGGAGGGGGGCCCTGGCCTCCCTCCCACCCCTCACTGACCCCGCCCGCCCCTCACTGACCCCGCCTCCCCGCCCGCTGACCCCGCCTCCCGCCCCCGCAGCTGCAAGCAGAACCAGGATCTGCTGTCCTTCTACGCCGTTGTCATGGGGCTGGACAACGCCGCCGTCAGCCGCCTGAGGCTCACCTGGGAGGTGAGGTGACCGCCTCCTCGCCTCCCACGTGGGCCGGTTCACCTCGGGGATCTTGGCCTGCACGCACAGTCTTGACATCCCTGAGCTCACCCCAGAGATCTCTCCCGGGGTGGCTGCTCGCTTCTGGGGAGCTTTTGTGAGGATTGGAAGGAGGCGCCCTCTTCTGGCGAATACAGCTCCGGGGCACCGGGCAGGGCTGAAGGGCCGGGTAGCTGTGCAAATCAATGAAGGTGGATTCGCGCCTGACCGCGGAGTGGTGGGTGGGGGGCAGGCAGCCCGGCCCAGGAAGCAGAATGGGCTCTGGGATTTCAGCCCGCACCCAGGGAGGCTTTGTGTGTGGCTCAGGCATCAGCAGTGGCCTCCATTTCGCCAGAAGAGATCATTCCTCTGGGCCGCTGCCAGCGCCCCAGACCTAGCCCAAGGCTGGGTCTCCTTTCCCACCCTCTAGGCTTCCCAGCCCCCTGCCCGGCACTCCTGCCCTTCCCCCTCTAACACCTGGGGATTAGTCAGGAGGACCCAGGAAACCCAAGGAGCTCCAGAATCTGACATCTCTTTCCTTCAACCTGCAGAAGCTGCCAGGGAAATTCAAGAACTTGTTCCGCAAATTTGAGAACCTGACAGTGAGTGGGTTTGGCTCTTTTATCTGCCGCTGGACTGGCACCCCAGAGACTCAGTGCCCACAAACCTTTCACCTCAAGCTTCCCTTTCAAGGTTTTTAATGTCTGGGAGCCCCACTCCCGACCCCCCTCCTCCAGCCCACCACGCTGGGAGGGAAGCTGGGGGGATTGTGGCTTTGTTTTCCCCAGGGAAGAGGATACAGCCATGAAGTCCCCACTTAGACACCCAAGCACACCTCTGTCTGTTTGGAGATATTTGTAGGGAAGGGGCTAGGGGAGGGGGAGGGGGACAACTTTGGGGTACACTGGGCCTATTTTCACTTTCTCCCTCTGCTGTGGAACCCTAGGACCCCTGCAGGAACCACAAAAGCTACCGGGAAGTGATCTCCAAGATGAAACCTCCTGTGATTCCTTTTGTGCCTCTGATCCTCAAAGGTGAGAGTCGCTTCCAAGCTATGTTCCTCTCCACACTTTCCATGCCCCGTTCAGACCCTCAATCCCCTCTCAATTCAGCTCTGTGTGTGGCTACAAAGAGAGAAGCCCCCAGGTTGAATGTGGTTTGGGGGAGGGGAAGGGCCCTTTGGACCTCCTCTCCCTTTTTTGTAACTTTTATTTGCATTTGTGTGTGTGTGTGTGGCATCTATTCTCCAGCCATAAGTGTTTATTTCTTCAGTTTCTTCTGGGATATCTTTTTCTTCTGTGCAGCCTCCTCTCTGGTTCAGGAACAGTCTGTTCTTTTTCAGTAAGGATCATCTCCATGTGGCAGGGAGGACTCACGTATAGGTTGATCTGACCATGAGCTCTGTAAGACCCGCCAGCATCTTGGGGGCTTTGTTCACTGGGATGTGCTCAGTGACCAGGGTATCTACCTCTCTGCCCTTAAGTTCAGCATTATTCTCTGCATTTTTGAGCATGTGCAGTAAAAATTCAGCACTCTTTGGTCCACCAGCCCTGAGTCTAGCCCCACTGTTTGGTTGCCAGCTCCACCACTGTAATGACGGGATGGCACGCGTTGCTTCTGTAAAGTGACATCCTTCAGATACTTGGTGGCTTTTTGGATATGCAGTCCCCTTAATGGCCTGGGCAGTTTCACGAGTGTTCTTAAAGTGAACACAAAGATTTGAACCTCTTGATTTGCATGATTGTCTGGGGTCAAATGAACAGCGAACCATTTTTACAGGTCTCCTCGGGTCTCTTCCAGGAAAAGTGGATCTCCCCCTCTTACCTCTTTGCTTCTCTCCCCATCCCTAGACCTGACTTTCCTGCATGAGGGAAGTAAGACCCTGGTAGATGGCTTGGTGAACATTGAGAAGCTGGTGAGTGACACTGCCAACCCCAGTCCCATAAGTGGGGTGGCTGGTACCCTCCCCTGCTCTTGGCACACACACCCCTGAAGACAGCACCTTTCCTCATGGTGCCCAGCTTGCCTGGCAGACTCCTGACTGTCTCTGTGGTGGTGTCACTGTGGCAACCTGCCCACGGATGGCAAAATTGGGGTGGGGGCAACTCTGCCTCTCCCTAACCTGGCCCCCTGTCACACCCCTTCTTTGGTCCAGTGGAGAAGGGGGAGCCTTGGGAGGGGAGCACCTTTCTGGGCCCTTTTCGGGACTCAGTTCTTGTCATCTCCCAGCATTCAGTGGCCGAGAAAGTGAGAACAGTCCGCAAATACCGGAGCCGGCCCCTTTGTGAGTACTTGGGGTTTTGAGGGCGTTACAAGTGGAGGTTTGACAGAGCAGGAGGGTTTCTGGGAGACTCCCCCACTCCAGTGTTTATTTCCTTAAACATCTCATTTCTCCATTCTCTCCTCGGCCTTCCCGGGGGCCCTCCTGCCCACCAGCCATCCCAGTTTTCACCCTTCCTTCCCTCTGGCTGGTTGTGTGCAGGGGAAGAAGGGCACCCTGACTGCCTCCCTCCCTGTCCTTGCATCCCCAGGCCTTGATATGGAGGCCTCCCCACATCACCTGCAGACCAAGGCCTACGTGCGCCAGTTCCAGGTCATTGACAACCAGAACCTCCTCTTCGAGCTCTCCTACAAGCTGGAGGCCAACAGTCAGTGAGAACTGAGGTTCTGGTCGGCCCCTCACCAGGGTCCTTGGGCACCTGGCACTCAAGCACTTTGCACGATTCCCTGCCCACATCTGACAGCTTTCTTCTGGAGCCGCTTCCTGCCCCACGGGAAGGAGTTGGGTGACTGAGCCCTGGACTCATAAGCCTGTTCTTCCTGCTGAAGTCCTTTCCCCCATGCTCCTTCAAGCCCAAGCCACCCTCTGCTGGTTCCTGCCCTCCCAGGGGAAGCAGTGGGCAGAGAGCTCCTTCCCTGGCCCCTCCCATCCAGGTCTGTTCCGGAGATGGAGTTTCCCATCTCCTCTACCCAAGCAGGCAGGAAGGCTTTGCCCACCGCTCGCCCCATCTCGTCTCACAGAGCAGAGCTGTGGGAGGGATTGGCAGCCTTCCTCTCCACCACCTGCCTGGTTTCTGCCTGACTTCTTCCTGGTGAGGGCTGGGACCCCTAGATGCACCCCCAGATATTATATCGCCCTTGTGTCTGTCTGCGTGCATGCGTGCGTGCGTGCCTGTGTATGTTTGCGTGCGTGCGTGTGGCCCTTTTGAAGGAGCGGCACTGCATCTGGCATTTGAGGGAAGGTGCTGTGTTACTGGGGAGGGGGTCCTTCTGTTTGGTGCTACCCTTGTCTGCTCTGCTCCTGGGATGGTGCAGGGTGCTTTCCCCACCCCCACCACTCCCTGCCCAGCTCCTCCCCTGCCCTGCACACACAGGCTTGTGGGTGAAGCTGCTCTGGAGGGCAGGGAGCAGCAGCAGACAGGAGGGTTACTATCAGCCCTTACAGGTCCCCGACTCAGGCCTCCTAAAGTTCCCTGGGTGGGCTCTGATGAGAGGGTAAAAGATGCTCAGGGAAACACAGGTCTAAGCTGCCTACAGGACCCTCCCTCCACATTGCAGTGGGGTGAGACGTGACGGCAGGAGTCAGGGTTGATTTCTGCCCATCCTCCTGGTTTTCGGGTGTCTCATTGCTAAGAAGGGAGTATCGTCTCCCTTTGGCTCTTCTGCAGGGATGCCAGCACATGGTCTCACCTTCCTCCCTGTCTTGGCTCCCCTCTTGGTCCTTCCCATCAGAGCTGGGTGGGGTGGACTCCTGTACTTGGGGCAGGCAGCCGCTCCTGCTCCTGACATGGGGCAGGGAATGGCAGAGACTGGAAAAGCGAAACTGGGCCTTGGCGATGGCTCTGTTACCTCTCAGTCTCCCCTCCCTCTCCCATCAGGGGCCTCCAGGGCTGAGGGTGCAAGACTCCCGGCAGCTACGGGGTGAGGTTTCCTGGCTCAGCCTCACCCTCCTTTCTGGCACCACCTCTTTCCCTTCCGAAGAGGCAGCAGCAGCCCCAGCCAAAGCAGCTGCTGCTCCTGCTCTGAGAGTGTATATATTTTTTACCAAAAGTTTGGAAATTGTAAATTTATTTTTTAAAACTCAAGGAGGGAAAGAGCCTTGTATCATATGTAAACAGTGTATCATATATGATGTTGTACAGTCCCTTTTATACTGCGGTCTGTCTTGTTCCTGCTGCAAAAATATGTCTATAGACTCCCCACCCCCACCACGTCCGCCGGCGCTGTGTCCCACCCCCTCCATCCCTAGAGACAGTGACCTCTGTCTGTCCACTCTTCCCTGCTACTGCTGATGTGCCCTTCTCTCCCTGCAGACATCCTTCCTCCCAACACCTCTCAGCACCCTTGTCACTCCAGTGCTCACAGTCCTCCCCAAACCCAGGGGCCCCCCTGGTCCAGTCTCGGCTGCTGCCCACCTCTGGCCTTGACCCCTGCCCTGCTGCCTCCTACGGGCCTCCCAGACCCCTTCCCAAGCCCCGCAGCTCTACCAGAGTGAATCGTGCGTGCTCCACAGGCTCGATTGTCATTGCAGAAACCTGCTGGAGTCAAAGCCGATAAAAGTCTATGAATCGACCCTCCTGCTGTTCTCCATTCTGTTTCTTTGAGGCTGGGGAAGGGCCAAAGGGGGAGAGAGGGAATCCATCTCTCAGGACTCTGGGCTGGGCTGTTCTGGAGTGACTTTGAAAAACGTGGGTGAGAGGAAAAGATGCCGCCTAGTGCCTGGGACTTGCAAGAATGAATGTTTTAGTTCTTCCATGTTCTAGGCGTGCCATGGATATGCAATCTTGGTTAATTCTAACACTGTGCGGTGGAGGATGGAAGCTGGACAGTCCCAGCAAAGTGTCCAAGTTACAGGGTGAGTGAGGTGGCAGAACAGGGCCCGTAACCGAAATCTGTCCATTGCAGACAGCGTGCATGTTCTCTGCTGCTACCCAGATGCATGCACTCTGCACGCAACCAGTATCTACCAGTTATACTAAGAAGTGGGGCAACTAGCGCTTAGCGCTCAGCTCTGATGGGAGCCTGACCTCCGGGAAACATCGCACTCAAGTCACACGTGAGCCCTTGACCCTCCCTCGTCCTGCTTCAGTTATTCCCTCAGTCTCCTGCATCTCAGAAAACAGTCTTCTCATCCACCCGAGTTTTCAAGGCAAGAATCTACAGCTCCACTCTTGATGATTCCCCTTACCCTCATCCTTCACTCATCTCATCTGCCTCTTCCGGCAGCTTCAATTGCATAACACATCCTGGGACTTCCCTCGTGGTCCAGTGGTTAAGACTCTGCCCTTCCAATGCAGGGGACATGGGTTCAGTCTCTGGTCAGGCAACTGAGATCCCACGTGCCATTGCCAAAAACAAAAAACAAAGCAAAACAACCAAAACCAAATCCTGATCGGTCCACTTCTCCATTGCCACCAGTCCAAACCACTTTCATGTCTTCCCTGGATGCTTGCGTTGGCTTCCTACTTGGGCTCTCAGCTTCTTCTCTCCAACCCGCTTCTAACCCCACCAGTTTGTTCCCCATACTGCAGCCAGGGTGCTTTTTTACAACCCCAAATCAGATAATGTATGGCTAAACTTAAAGAAGGGCTTGCCAGGTTGCACTAGTGGTAAAGAACCTGCCTGTGAATGCAGGAGACAGATGAGATGAGGGTCCGATCCCTGGGTCAGGAAGATGCCCTGGAGGAGGGCATGGCAACCCACTCCAGTACTCTTGCCTGGAGAAGTCCGTGAACAGAGGAGCCTGGCAGGCTATAGTCCACAGGGTCATCACTAAGAGTCCACAACTGAAGCAACTTAGCACACACACATGGAAGCTAAAAGAAAGTGGCGATACCAAGTATCAGTGAGGATACAGAGAAACTAGGACTTTTATAAGTTGTTGGTGGGAGTGTGAATTGGTACACCCAGTTTGGAAAATTGTTTGGTCATATCTACTAAGACTAAATGTACCCTGTACCTGTGACCTAGCATTTCCACTCCTAGGTGTATGTGTACCCAAGAGAATTTAGTGCCTGTGTCTACCAAAGAATATGCACAGCAATGATTATATCAGTTTTGTTCATGACAAATTGGAAAAAATCCAAGTGTCCTTCAACAGATAAATGAACAAATTGATTGTATATTCTTATAATGGAATATTACATGGCAAAAGAAAGGAACAAATGACTACTACCCTCATGGGCTTCCCTCGTGGCTCAGTCAATAAAGAATCCGCCCACAATGCAGGAGACCTAGGTTCGATCCCTGGGTTGGGAAGATCCCCTGGAGAAGGGAACAGCTACCTACTCCAGTGTTCTGGCCTGGAGAACTCCATGGACCGTATAGTTCATAGGGTGGCAAAGAGTCGGACACGACTGAGCGACTTTCACTCACCTGCATAAACGAATCTCACAGATATAACATTGAGTGAACAAAGCCAGACGTATAGACTACACACTGTACAATTCTGTTTTGAGAATTTAAAAAACAGGCAAAATTATGGAGAGAGAAGTGAAAATAGTGGTTGCTCGTGGGATGAGAGAGAGTATTGAAGTCGTGTGAAGAAACTCTCTGTGGTGATAATAATGTTCTACATCTTTTTTTTTAATTGAAGTACAGTTCATTTACAAGGTTGTGTTTCAGGTACAAAACAATGATTCAGTCTTATACATATAAATGTATATAACACACATATACACATACATATTTTCTTTTTCAGATTATCTTCCTTTATAGATTATTAAAGATATTGAATATAGGGGCCTTCCCTGGTGGTCCAGTGGTTAGGACTCAACCCTTCCATTGCAGGAGGCATAAGTTCCATCCTGGACAGGACACCAAGATCTCCCATGTGGCACGACGTGGCCAAAAATTTGAAATTAAAAAAATAGAAAAAAAATAGAAAGATATTGAATATAGTTCCTTGTGCTATACATTATACACTTGTTTACCTATTTTATATATAGCAGTGTGTGTCTGTTAATCCCAAACTCTTAATTTTTTTTCCCCCACTTTCCCATTGGTAACCATAAGAATGTTTTCTACATTGGTAACCATAAGCATGTTTTCTACATCTGTGAGCCCATTTCTGTTCCATAAATAAGTTCATTTGTATCATTTGTTTTAGATTCCACATATAAGTGATATCATGTGGTGTTTGTCTTTCTCTGTCTGGCTTACTTTACTGTGATAATCTCAGGTCCATCCATGTTGCTACAAATAGCGTTTTTTTCCATTCTTTTCTGTGACTGAGTAATATTCCTTTGTGTATATTGTATGTACACCTCTTCTTTATCCACTCCTCTGTTGGACCTTTAGGTTGCTTCCATGTCTTGGCTTTTGTAAACAGTGCTGCCATAAACACAATATTCTATATCTTGACTTGAATGTGGTTGCAGTGTGAATGTATGTTCATTGAGATTGATATGAATACATTTTGCTGTAATGCTATATTTCAATGAAAACAATTCTGATTTTAACACTCCTATGTCTTTGACAACACAGGTTAAAAACAAAAATCCCCCCTCTCTGACCTCACCTTCTCTCTCTTCTCTCCCTCACCCTCTCCAGCCACACTGACTGCCTTGCTGTTCCTAAAACACATTCTTTTTTTTTTTTTTCCTAAAACACATTCTTGTCTCAGGGATTTTACCTTTGCTCTTCCCTGCATCTTTCCTGAGTGCTCTGACCGCCCCCACTTTGTCTGTCTCCTCTAATTCTCCTGTTTATTCTTCAAGGCTTTCATTGCTACCTGACATCATCGATAACTTCTTCGTGTATTTGATTTTCCTGCCCCCAGAATGTTAGCTCCGGGAGTCTGTCATGTTCACTCTTCTGTACCAAGAGCAGTACTTGGCACCAAGAAGACACTCGATACATATTTGCTGAATGAATAAATTAGGTTATTTGAAATAGGAGTCGAAAGAGGAGGACAAGACACAAGATGATAAGTGCTCTAGGAAATAAGTCAAACAGATTCACTTATGGTCTGCGGATTAAGGGTGGGTAACAATAAAACTTCTTAAAAGAGATGATCCAGGACTTGAAGCAGGCACAGAGTTGGATGGCCTAGGTGTGGATGTGGGAAGTCGGGGATGAGGCACTGGGGCTCTGTGGGCTGTGTGGGAGAGGGTGAACTTACTTAGTAATGCTGCACCTCCAAAGATTGGCTTAGCAATGAACTAAAAGGTGGAAATAAGTTGAAGCAGTCAGACCTATGTATTAATATTAAGACGCTTAATATTAAGACGCTCTCTGGATCTGGGGTTTGCAGTGGAGAATTTAAGCAGTGCCTTTTGAATCCACTAGGTGTCGCCACCAAGATTACGTCTCACTATGGAAGGGGCCTGGGACCCATAGTGTTGAATCTATCATATGGTCTATTCCCAGGCATGAGAAATTTGACTAGAATATCCCAAATCTTTCATTCTCTGCCTTTCTACTGGGTCTTTCCCATTACACCTTTAAACCTTCTCAATTCTTGTCAAACCGCCCCCCCTGCCTTTTTTTTAGTTTGGCTGCGCCATGTGGCATGTGAGATCTTAGTTCCCCTACCAGGCACACATTTCACATGCTAGCAAAGTAATGCTCAAAATTCTCCAAGCCAGGCTTCAGCAGTATGTGAACCAAGAACTTCCAGATGTTCATGCTGGATTTAGAAAAGGCAGAGGAACCAGAGGTCAAATTGCCAACATTCACTGGATCATCGAAAAAGCAAGAGAATTCCAGAAAAACATCTACTTCTGCCTCATTGACTACACTAAAGCCTTGACTGTGTGGATCATAACAAACTGTGAAAAGTTCTTAAAGAGATGGGAATACCAGACCACCTTACCTGCCTCCTGAGAAATCTGTATGTAGGTCCAGAAGCAACAGTTAGAAACCGACATGGAACAATGGACTGGTTCAAAACTGCGAAAGGACTACGTCAAGGAGGTATATTGTCACCCTGCTTATTTAACTTATATACAGAGTACATCATGTGAAATTCCAGGCTGGATGAAGCACAAGCTGAAATCAAGATTGCCAGGAGAAATATCAATATTCTCAGATATGCAGATGACACCACACTTATGGAAGAAAGTGAAGAAGAACTAAAGAGCCTCTTGACGAAAGTGAAAGGTGAGAGTGAAAAGCTGACTTAAAACTCAACATTCAGAAAACTAAGATCATGGCATCCAGTTCCATCACTTCATGGCAAATAGAAGGGGAAACAATGGAAACAGTGACAGACTATTTTCTTGGGTGCCAAGATCACTGCAGATGGTGACTGCAGCCATGAAATTGAAAGACCCTGGCTCCTTGGAAGAAAAGTTATGACAAACCTAGACAGCATATTAAAATGCAGAAATGTCACTTTGCCAGCAAAGGTCCACATAGTCGAAACTATGGTTTTTCCAGTAGTCATGTTATGGATATGAGAGTTGGACCATAAAGAAGGCTGAGTGCCGAAGAATGGATGCTTTTGAATTGTGGTATTGGAAAGTCTCTTGAGAGTCCTGTACTGCAAGGAGAATAACCAGTCCATCCTAAAGAAAATCAGTCCTGAATATTCATTGGAAGGACTGATGCTGAAGCTGAAGCTCCAATACT